GTCCCTGTGGCTGCCTGGCTCTCCAGCAGCTCCTGCTCTTGTCTGCCTCCAGGGTGTCAGCAGTGAGCCCTGGGTTGGGCATGGGTTGTTTGGGGGATGGACTGCTCTGTTTGTTTTCACCAGCGTGAGAAAAGCATTGCTTCTGGGATTTTCCCTCCCTTTCCCTGGAGCAAGCAGTGAAACTTAATACTAGTCCTGCTCAGGATGAGTATCTCCAGTTTATTTTCTTTCTTTCTTTCTGTATCTCCTCTTCTCTAAACTAGGGAAAGAAGCAACAACAAAGAGCTTATATACGTCAGAAGACATGAATGTTTGGTTTCACTTGAGTTTGATAAATATTTGTATAAGTATAATGCAGACTATAATAATATTATAACAATATAATAGGTATATGATAAATACACAGATACTAGCAGCTGCAGCAGTAGGACTGGAAGATGCTTTACCATGACATGATTCATTCCAGCACACTGTGAGTCAGTGGGAACACCACGGTGGAGCTGATGTGCTGTTCTGGGATTTGTGGCTCCTCTCCATGGGTGGCTGGTGCTGGATAACCTGAGTGGGAGCTGTGGCACAGTGCTGGCTCCACTAGCAAGGAGGAGCTGGAGCTTGGAAGTGGCTTGAGGCTAGAAATAGCTAACCATGTTAAAGGCTATTGCTTATTTGTGTCAGGTGTGATATATGCCTCAGTTCACATTACTTGTGCTGAGTCTTGTCTCTTACCAACTTGTGAGTTGGAGATGTGATGCTGAGTTTCTATATCAAGCACTGTGCTGGTTTTTTCTTGGTTTGTGGATTCCTGTAGGTGACTGGGAGCTGTCTCCTGTTTCATGAGGAGGTGAAGATGAGTTTGAAGGGGGAGAGGGAATAGAAAAGCCAGCTTTGTTTGGGGAAATAGATCTAACATCAGGAACGAGGGTTTGCTGTAAAAGGGGAATGAGAGAGGCACATTTGGGTAATCACCAAACCTCATCTGCAGGGGTACCTGCTGCCTTCCTGCTGGGGATTTTTCTGGGATTTGGGGCATGTCAGGTTGGGGTATGGGAAAGGTGTCTGACTGACTGAAGCTGGAATAGAAATGTAAAAGAGATTTGGTCAGGGCTCTGTCTTTGAAGCACAAATCTTTGGCCATACGTTAGCTAACAGAACATGTGTTTTCTAAATGCACTAAAGGGTGTAAAGATCGTGGAATTGATTGTGAGGTGCCTTTGAAGTATCCCTCAGTAATTGCACAGTGTCTCTGCTGATGGGGGCATTGCAAGCCCCCCACAAGGGCTGGCTTTGGGCACTGCTGGAGCAGTTTTGAGCAAAGCTGTGATGTGTCC